TCAACATAACGCCCCTTCGAAACCAAACAAGCTACCGCCAAGGGAGGAAATATTTGGGTAATCCAAGCAGAAGCTGATCTAATGGAATCCGAAAATGTATTCCTGCACTCCTGACCACTGCACAACCTCGATCTGTATTCCGTTGAAGAGACATTCCGCCATCGCAAGTGCCTAGTGGGGCTTAACCGTTGGTTTGTACAAACTGGCTCACTAATAAAGGGAGGGAAAAAACCTCCAAAAATGTGCTAATAGAACCTGGTTGATTTTCAGGACGAGTATGCGGTGAAGCGACGGACCAGAGACGCTTAAGTGCACAAAGCACGATAATTTAGTTCTTGCTCGAAAATACATTTGAAATCTCTGAGATGGGGTGGGCGATGCAGCGCACTTAGATTTAATGTGGCAATGGTCAAGGTTTTTGTGAATTACTTTTATTTGGGGACAGTTGTAATTATGTTTTTGTCCCACACAGAACAAGATGACACTTATCTCAAGTTGAATTATCTCCCGAGTAACTGGTCCTATGCCACGTTCAAATGCCACGCCTACTCCATCCTCAGGGATAAGGAGTGCAGTGGCAGGCGTACCCCATAGTAGAGACAATGACGAAAATCCTAAGTCAAACGGCAAAAGGCTGCGGAAAGCCTTTTTTCTGCACGCCATAGGACGAGCACTCATGGACGTCCCCTTGGCATCGTGCCAACACCGCTTTGGTAGATACGGCTGCACGTATGTATTGATATTTCCATGTAACAACGCTTCCTATCAATGTACTTCATAGTGCAGTGATAAGAGAACCAACGCCGATGTGACTATACGGCCATTTGTGGGCGGGCGGTTGCGATGGGCGGGTGGTGTCTTCATGTTACAACATGGTTCGGTGCTATAACGGTACCTTTGGTTGGAAGGGTATGTGACAAGAGGATCGTAATTTGCCGCGCTGCTGGGCGTCGCGTGCGACGTCCCGCCCGCAAAGGACGATGGTTTAGGCAGTAGATGGCGACAACATGCAATTAAGGACCGAAAACAGTAATGAGTGTCTACGATGACGGGGTCTACATGAAGTCCGGTGCTTCATTCGACAGGTTAAACGAGTTGTGAAAATGCCGCGCCCATCGCCGAGCGTGGGGGTGCGGCGAATTACGATCCTGTTTACCGTCC